ATTGCCTGAACCCAGGAGGCGGAGGTTGCGTGAGCTGAGATCGCGCCATTGCACTCCAGCCTGGGAAACAAGAGCGAAACTCCGTCTCAAAAAAAAAAAAAAGAAAGAAAGAAAGAAAAGGTTACGAGAGAGATTTTTTTTTTGTTTTTCTTTTTTTTTTAGCGTCAGAATTACTTGCAAAAGAATGATTTCATTACACATCTAAATACAAAAAAAAAACAGCTTCTAGTTTTTAAAAAGTATCACAGATATACATCAAAGTATTTGAAATGACATAGTATCTGGGATTTGCTTTAAAATATGAAAGTCGATGACCGGGCGCGGTGGCTCAAGCCTGTAATCCCAGCACTTTGGGAGGCCGAGGCAGGTGGATCACGAGGTCAAGAGATCGAGACCATCCTGGTCAACATGGTGAAACCCCGTCTCTACTAAATATACAAAAAATTAGCTGGGCATGGTGGCACGTGCCTGTAATCCCAGCTGCTCAGGAGGCTGAGGCAGGAGAATTGCCTGAACCCAGGAGGCGGAGGTTGCGGTGGGCTGAGATCGCGCCATTGCACTCCAGCCTGGGTAACAAGAGCAAAACTCTGTCTCAAAAAAAATAAAAAATAAAATAAAATAAAATAAAATAAAATATGACAGTTTTCCAACCCTGTGCTCTAAAAATAAAAGGGTGGGGCCAAGCAAGGTGGCTCACGCCTGTAATCCCAAAATGTTGTGAGGCCAAGGCAGGCAGAACACAAGATGAAAGTTCAAGACCAGCCTGGCCAATATGGTGAAACTCTGTCTCTACTAAAAAATACAAAAATTAGCCAGCTGTGGTGGTGCATGCCTGTAGTTCCAGCTACTCCGGAGGATAAGGCAGGAGAATGCTTGAACTCAGGAGGCAGAAGTTGCAGTGAGCCGAGATCATGCCATTGTGCTACAGCCTGGATAACAGAGTGAGACTCCATCTCAAAAAAAAAAAGGTGGGAATACTTGAAGCTGGGTGATCTATATTGTATATATGAGGACTCACTACACTATTGTCTCTACTACTGTGTAAGAAAATTTATGCGCTGGGTGCGGTGGCTAAAGCCTGTAATCCCAGCACTTTGGGAGCCCGAGGCGGGCGGATCACGAGGTCAAGAGATCGAGACCATCCTGGTCATCAAGGTGAAACCCCGTCTCTACTAAAAATACAAAAAAAAAAAAAAAAAAAAATTAGCTGGGCATAGTGGCACACGCCTGTAGTCCCAGCTACTCGGGAGGCTGAGGCAGGAAAATTGCTTGAACCTAGGAGGCAGAGGTTGCGGTGAGCCGAGATCGTGCCATTGCACTCCAGTCTGGGTAACAAGAGCGAAACTCCGTCTCAAAAAAAAAAAAAAAGAAAGAAAGAAAATTTATGGGCTGAGCGCAGTCGCTCATGCATGTAATGTCAGCACTTTGAGAGATGGAGGCAGGTGGAGGTCAGGAGATGGAGACTAGCCTGGCCAAGGTGGTAAGGAAGCTGAGGCAGGAGAATCACCTGAATCCAGGAGGTGGAGGTTGCAATGAGCCAAGTCTGTGCCACTACACTTCAGCCTGAACGACACTAAGACTTCGTCTCAAAAAAAAAAAAAGAAAAGAAAAGAAAGAAAGAAGGAAAATCTAATCTATGAAAATCATAAAATTCTTTTTTTAGAGACAGTATCTCACTATGTTGCCCTGGCTGGTACTGAACTCCTGAGCTCAAGCAATCCTCCAGCCTTGGCCTCCTAAAGTGCTAGGATTTCAGGTGTGCGCCACTGTACCTGATGGAACACCATAAACTTCTAAGGAACCAAGGTCTCCACCTGAAACTTCTAAATACAAGACACTACTAAGGAAGAAAAAAAAGGTGCTATTGGCCATTTCAACCAAGAATACAAAGTATTTTAAAATGATTCAACATCAAGCATGTCTTCTTTACCACATGCTAGGAAACAGTATCTTCTCCTCCTTTGGTATTACAACTCCATCTACTATAACAGCCCAGGGAATATTTTTTTCTTTTTTGCGCTATACTTTCTAGCTTTCTTTCTTTCTTTTTAAATAACTTAAACTACTACTAATTACATACACACAACCAGGACTACTAACACACCATTACTAGCTGTTACATCTATTATTTAATAGTGGATCCACGGAATACTAGGACTTTTTAAAAGCATGACTCATCTGAGAGCATTAAAAAAAATTAAAGAATCCCAACACCAGGCACAGTGGCTCACACCTCTAATCCCAGCACTTTGGAAAGCCCAGGTGGGAGGATCACTTGAACCAGGAAGGTTGAGGCTGCAGTGAGCTCTTGAACCCAGAAGGCTGAATGAGGCTGCAGTGAGCTCTTGAACCCAGAAGGCTGAATGAGGCTGCAGTGAGCTCTTGAACCCAGAAGGCTAAATGAGGCTGCAGTGAGCTATGACTGCATTCCAGCCTGGGTTTAAAAAAATTTTTTTTTTTTTTTTTTTTTTTTTTTTTTCAGAAAAAAAGTTCCCGTCGGGCAGATCACCTAAGGTTGGGAGTTCAAAACCAGCCTGATCAACATGGTGAAACCCCGTCTTAAAAAAAAAAAAAAAAAATACACAGAGAAAAAGTTCCACAAGTTTCCAAAAAGCAAAAGTTAACTTTGACACATGCCAAGTACTACAGTGAATCCACATGAATGAAGTGACATGTAGGCGAGATCTTAATACGAGATCTTAAGTATTTTAGAGATGACAAGAATTGGGAAGGGTGTGCACAGATGATATGGAAATACGATATCATTTTATACAGTATAAAGTACTTGGGCCTTCTCAGATTTCAGTATCTGCAGGGGGCCTGCAACCATCCTCCAGTGATACCAAGGAACAACTCTACTCATATGCTCTGCTTTTTCATAATTCCAATAATGGGTACAGATAGGACAATGTTCCCTGCATTTGTATCCAAAGGGATAGAAAAGGACATGTATCTATTTCACTATCAAATAGTTCCACTTACTGAACAGCAAATACAAAACATATTCCACACATATTTCTTCAAATGTGCCTAGTTTACTTCTTTAAGTAATGCTCTTTCAAACACATAGATCAGATTAAATCAACTCCCAGACTAAGCAGAATGAAATTTCCTTTGGCTGTCTTTAAAAAAAAAAAATAGGCCGGGCTCGGTGGCTCATGCCTGTAATTCAGTACGCTGGGAGGCCAAGGCAGGCAGATCACAAGGTCAAGAGATCAAGACCATCCTGGCCAACATGGTGAGACCCTGCCTCTACTAAAAATAAAATTAGCTGGGCATGGTGGCACACGCCTGCAATCTCAGCTACTCAAGAGACTGAGGTGACAGAATCGATTGAACCTGGGAGGTGAAGATTGCAGTGAGACCAGATTGCGCCACTGCACTCCAGCCTGGCAACAGAGGGAGACTCGTCTAAAAAAAAAAAAAGGAAAAAGAAATATATTTAAAAATAACTCCACCTCCTGAAGAATATACATAGGTATTCACAGTACTCTTCTTTCATTATTTCTGTGTATAAAAATTGGAGGAAAAAACATCAAATTGGAAATCTAGCCCTTCCACCTCCCCTCAGTCCCCCAAAATCCCTATTTCCAATTTACATGACACCTTTTCTCCTCTGGAGCATAAAACTGCCTCCTTTAAGCCGAGGTTTCCAAATGTCTGGAATAAACATGAAGAAGGATATATACACTCCTTGAATAGGCCACTTTTTGCCACTTTCCCTAACAATGTGCTGCTTCTACCCACAAACCACTAATAATGTGTTTAGTTGCCAGTATTAAGATCTTAGTTTGAGGAAACGACATCTATTATGTGTCCTCAAAGAGCAAAAAGAAAATTCAAAAAAGTTTGACAGAGTTAGAAATCTTAGCTGTACCTATCCTTCTAGTCTTCAAGCCGAAGATGAGAAGTCAGGTATGGCCTCACATTTCTAGTGGTTCTGGAAACCTTTCTTCCTGTCTCCTGCTTATGTACGTCTTTTCCTCTATCTGAATTACTTTTGTATACAACAATAGAGGATGAGATGAAGGGGGTGGGGAATACCAAGAGTAGCAAATTTCTACAAACCAGTGGTCTTCCCTAAAACAAATCTGGTAATACAAAAGAACCAAAACCAGTTTCAAGCAGCAGATTCATTATATTTGTCAACCTTTGGGGCTAATTCCATATACGTACACATCTGGAAAAAGCTCCCAAACTTTGAGAATTGTCAAATATACACTTGTAATCTGCAGCATCAAACCTAGATTATAAATTATCAATGTCACTTAACTGAATTACACCAAGCAATGGCAAGTCTAGATTTCATTAAGTGATACTGTTAAAATCACATTCAGACCTCAGAAGGGCAAGAACCCAGTCACAAACACAGCTTCAAATGCTTCCTCAACTTTTCAAGCTTTGGGACGCCAAGTCACCGGGAGTTAGCAGCTAAAACACGGGGTTTAATGCGAACTGACCAAAGGAAGTGAAGAAAACAAAGCATGTATTAATTTCAGCACCAAGAATATGGATTTGGGAATTACATCTACTGTAGTAAACAGCAGATCAAACATCTACTGCTAATAAACAGATCATTCTTTGCAACCCTTAGTACACCAGCCATTTTTTTTTTAAATGTTTAAATGGCTAGCCACAAATTGTCCTAGTCGAAACTGATGGCAAAATCCTAAACTGGTCTTTGGCGAGAAGACACTGCATGGAGCATCACACAAAAGACAAGAAAGAACAGACACGCTCTCGGCCTCGGCTGATTGCGGCCAGGAGCCCAGGTCTTCGTCCCAGACCCCGGCAACAGGGAGGAAAATAAAAGGGGGGAAGGAAGGGGTGGGAGTGGGGTCCCGTTCCCTGAATGCGCCTAGGACAGAGGAGCGAAGAGGGAAGGAGCGAGTGCAGCACGGAGGAAGCGAGGAAAGCAGCAGACGGGCGTCAGCGGCTTCCAAGGCCGGCAACACCTCGAGCCCGCACCAGGCCCGGCCCTCCCGGCCCCACCTCCTCACCTCCCTCACATCCTGCAGGCACTCGAGCACCGCCAGGTTGTTGCTCCAGGTGTGCTTCGGGCACACGCGGGTGACGTCCTCCCTGCAAGACTCTTCTTCCGCCAGCTTCCAGCCCCCGCCAGCTCCCGCTCCACCCCGCCGGGCCGGAGGCCCACCAGCCGGGAAAGGCGGCTGCGGCGGCTGAGGCTGCTGTTGTTGCTGTTGTTGCTGTTGCTGCTGCTGCTGCTGCTGTTGCTGTTGCTGCTGCTGTTGCTGTTGCTGCTGCTGTTGCTGTTGCTGCTGCTGCTGCTGCTGCTGGAGCTGCGATGACTGAGGCAGCTGAGGCAGCTGCTGACCCGCCGGGCCGCCGCCTCCAGCCTGCCCTACGAAGGACACGAAGTTGACTCCGGGGCCCTGGCCCTGGCTGTGAACGCCCTGGCCCTGGAGTTTCTCGGCCCGGGCCGCGGCAAGCAGCAGCAACTGCAGCACCGCCGACAAGCGGAACATCCTCGGTACACGTCCACACGCCGCCATCTTGAGTCCGGGGCGAGCTCGACGCACTCGCCGGCGCCGCGTATTTAAATGAGGGGCGGAGCCGCTGGGCGTGGTGGCGTGGCCCCGCTGAGCCCCGCCCCTCCCCGCGCAGACCCGCTGCCCAGAGCCGGGAGAAGGAGGAGGCAGGGCTGGGAACTGCACACGCCCTGGACCGGCGGGCGGGAGAGCGGTGCTCCTTATCCGGGCGTTGCTGGGGTTTCTTAAAAAGCCTGGGCAGGGCTGCCTTGTCTAATTCTTTTTGTTGTCGTCACAGAAAAAAAAAAAATCAAGGGAATTGGGATTGCCACAACCAAAATGGCCGTTAGAATACGTTGCGGGTTCAATGACTTGGAAAACAAAAACTTTCTATGTAAAGGTGAACTTTGCACGACCAGGTGTGTTCCGGAATCGGAAGGCCTCTCCTTGCATCGCTCCCTCCTTCCATCCTTCCACCTGCCTCAAAAGTCTTTCTTAGCCAAAGAGACAGTACTGAATAGGGTTAAGAGCATAGGTTCTTGGGTAAGAAAAAAAATTAAGGTTATAATCCTTGCTCTTTGGCAGAGTAGGCAAGAGCTCAAATGTAAAGTATCACTGACAAGATTCGAAATAATAATAAGGGAAGTGCCTGGCCCACAATATGGAAATCAAAAAGTCACGGCCAGTATTGTTAACAAACTGGGAAGCTCTTGGTGCATGAATCCTGATTTTTTTTTTTTTTTTTAATAAAGACAGAGTTTCAGCATGTTGTTCAGGCTGGTCTTGAACGCCTGACCTCAGGTGATTCCCCTGCCTTTGCCTCCAAAGTGCTTGGATTACAGGCATCAGCCACCCAGCCCGGCCAAATCCTGATTTTAAGCCAGCATTTAGATTCATGTTTAAGGGATGAAAAAATAATGAAACACATCTGTGAGGACTCGAGTTAAGTCAGTGTGTCGGTAACGTTATTGACCTGCATGCAACATCGCAGGCACCCCACACTAGCGTCCCCTCCCTGTCCTTAGGAGAGAGGATATGTTCCCAAAGCCTCCTCACATCTGCTGTGTAATCTGAGCCATGCATCAGGCCTGCGTTTAGGTTCTTAATTAACTGAAGAATGGCACAGAGATGTTAACAGTTCTGCAAGGAGGGATTAAATGAGCTGGCCAGAACGCACTCTGCCAGCCTGTAGACAGCTAGGCTGGCCACTAGAATCCCTGGGTCTTCCTACCACCCTTATGCACCTTTATCCCACTCTGTCTATGCATATATTGGGGAATGAGGGCGTTTGGGATGTGTAATCTCCACTGGTCATTGTGTCCAAAAATGCAGCTTCTGCTGTCCTGATCCACCAATGAGCTGAAAAGACCAGATTAGACATATATAGAACCTGAGAAGTCAGGAACTCATGTTCACTGTGGTTGACCCTGGGCCACTATCATGGGGAATGAGAGCTTGTTGGCATCTCCACCAACAATCACCCTTGCTACTACCATAAAATGATGGTGAAGCTGCTGCTAGCCTTGAGCGCTAAGGCAGCCCCATGTTCATTAGCAAACACATGACATAGATAAATTTCAGTCAAGCAGGCTGGAGACATCCCCAAAAGTCCTTGAGGTATCATTAGGGTATATTAATTTTTTTTTTTGAGATGGAGTCTCACTCTGTCACCCAGGCTAGAGTAGTGCAGTGGCACGATCTCGGCTCACTTCACCCTCGACCTCCCAGTGTCCAGCAATTCACCTGCCTCAGCCTCCCAAGTAACTGGGATGTGCCACCATACCCGGCTAATTTCTGTATTTTCAGTAGAGACGAGTTTTCACCATGTTGGCCAGGCTGGTCTCGAACCCCAAACCTCAGGTGATCTGCCCGCCTCAGCCTCCCAAAGTGCTCGGATTACAGGCCTGAGCCACAGCATCTAGACTCCATTAATTTTCAATGCTGGGTCTGCATCTGTTTAGACAAGTGGGAGATTATTTTAAGCCAGTTTAACTAGAAATTGACAATCTTAGGCCAGCAGCTGCTTATCTTTCAGCCTGAATTGAGGAAACCCAATAGCAGCCACAGATTGCCTCCACAGATAGGAAGGAATACACATGCCTATCTTGAAATCTCAGTAACCAACAAGCAAGAAACTGAGATAAATCTGGGAACTTGGCCAGCTTGGACTGGGTCAGGCAAGCGTAGACCTTACAGAAGCCAGGAGCCCCCAGACCAATGGAGACAGTTGCCCTATCTCGGGTCTCCTGAAGTCATTGGCTTTTCAATATAAAATATACTATCTCTAGGCCAGGCACGGTGGCTCACGCCTGTAATTCCAGTGCTTTGGGAGGCTGAGGCGGGTGGATCATGAGGTCAAGAGATCAAGACCATCCTGGCCAACATGGTGAAACCCCATCTCTACTAAAATTACAAAAATTAGCTGGGCATGGTGGCTCGCGCCTGTAGTCCCAGCTACTCGGGAGGCTGAGGCAGGAGAATTGCTTGAACCCAGGAGACAGAGGTTGTGGTGAGCTGAGATCACGCCATTGCACTCCAGCCTGGGTAACAAGAGTGAAACTCCGTCTCAAAAAAAAAAAAAAAATATATAATATATATATATATATAAAATATCTCTATCAGAAACAGGGAATTCTTTTTACCCTTTTACCCTTTATTGTACCCTTTGTTTCCTGATTGTCACTTTCTTATTCATCCAGTAGGCATCTGTTGAGCATTTTCTTTCTTTCTGTTTTTTTTTTTTTGAGACGGAGCCTCACCCGGGCTGGAGTGCAGTGGTTCGGTCTTAGCTTATTGCAACCTCTGACCCCTAGGTTCAAGTGATTCAATTATCCTGCCTCAGCCTCCCAAGTAGATGGGATTACAGGTGTTCACCACCACACCCCGCTAATTTTTTTATTTTTAGTAGAGATGGGGTTTCACCATGTTGTCCATGCTGGTCCCGAACTCCTGACCTCAAGTGATCCACCCACCTCAGCCTCCCAAAGTGTTGGGATTACAGACGTGAGCCACCGCACTCAGCCATTAGCATTTTTTGTTTTGAGACAGGGTCTCCCTCTGTTGCCCAGGCTAGAGTGCAGTGGCATGATGATCATGGCTGACTACAGCCTCAACCTCCTGGGCTTAGGCAGTCTTCCCGTTTCAGCCTCCTCAGTAGCTGGGACTACCAGTGTGTGCCACCGTGCCCAGCTAATTATAATTTTTTTGTACTTTTGGTATTTTGGTTTTTTTTTTGTTTTGTTTTGTTTTTTTTGAGACAGAGTTTTTCTCTTGTTACCCAGGCTGGAGTGCAATGGCAGAATCTCGGCTCACAGCAACCTCTGCCTTCTGGGTTCAAGCAATTCTCCTGCCTCAGCCTTCCGAGTAGCTGGGACTACAGGCGCACACCACCATGCCCAGCTAATTTTTGTATTTTTAGTAGAGACGGGGTTTCACCTTGTTGACCAGGATGGTCTCAATCTCTTGACCTCATGATCCACCCGCCTCGGCCTCCCAAAGTGCTGGGATTATAGGTGTGAACCACCACGCCCGGCCGGTATTTTGTTTTTTGAGACAGACTCTTGCTCTGTCACCCAGACTAGAGTGCAATGTCATGATCATGGCTCACTGCATCCTCAGCCTCCTGAGCTCAAGTGATCCTCCCACCTTGGTCTCCCAAAGTCCTGGAATTACAGGTGTGAACCCTGCACCCAGCCTGTTGAGCTTTTTTCTTTCTTTTTTTTTTTTTTCTGAGACAGAGTGTCGCTCGTTGCCCAGGTTGGAATGCAATGGCGCAATCTCAGCTCACGGTAACTTCTGCCTCCCAGGTTCAAGCTATTCTCCTGCCTCAGCCTCCCGAGTACCTGGGATTACAGGCATGTGCCACTATGACCAGCTAATTTTGTATTTTTAGTAGAGACAGGGTTTCTTCATATTGGTCAGGCTAGTCTCGAACTCCCGACCTCAGGTGATCTGACCACCTCAGCCTCCCAATGTGCTGGGATTACAGGCATGAGCCATTGCACCCAGCCTGCATTTTGTTGTTTAATGTGCCAGGCATTGCTCAAGAACTAGATTATTGCCGGGCGCGGTGGCTCATGCCTGTAATCCCAGCACTTTGGGAGGCCGAGGCGGGTGGATCACAAGGTCAAGAGATCGAGACCATCCTGGTCAACAAGATGAAACCCTGTCTCTACTAAAAATACAAAAAAAATTAGCTGGGCATGGTGGTGCACTCCTATAGTCCCAGCTACTCCGGAGGCTGAGGCAGGAGAATTGCTTGAACCCAGAAGGCAGAGGTTGCCGTGAGCCGAGATTCTGCCATTGCACTCCAGTCTGGGTAACAAGAGTGAAACTCCGTCTCAAAAAAAAAAAAAAAAAAAAGAACTAGATTATTTTGTGAACATTAGTATTAGGCAATAAATAAACAAATGGATTATATGAGAAACAGTAAACACAGAGCAAGATAATTTCAGATAGTATAAATGCTATGAAGAAAATAACAAAAGACATGGTGTGACTGGGGAGGAGAGAGGCTTTACATAAAGGCAGCTGGGGAAAGGCTCTCGGGGTCATAACTGAGCTATCACTCAGAGAGCTTTTCCTTATCTTTTATCTTTATCTCTTTAGCTTTTCCCGAGATCTTTTTTTTTTTTTTTTTTTTTGAGACAGAGTCTTGCTCTGTCACCCAGACTGGAGTGCAGCGATGTGATCTTGGCTTTGCAACCTCTGCCTCCTGGGGTCAAGTGATTCTCCTGACTCAGCCTCCTAAGTAACTGGGATTACAGGTGCCTGCCACCACCCCCAGTTAATTTTGGTATTTTTAGCAGAGATGGGTTTCAACATTTTGGACAGGCTAATCTCAAACTCCTGACCTCAGGTGATCCATCCGCCTTGGCCTCCCCAAGTGCTAGGATTACAGGCATGAGCCACTGCACCTGGCTTTTTCCCTGTATCTTTGTGCCAGTTGGCATAAAGATGGCAACCATGGAAAGAGGAATCAAAAGTGTTCCAAAATCAGACGTTAATAACTAGTTCAACATTCTAAGGAGGTGGGAATAAGCATTCAAAATGAAGGCCTGCTAGG